ACCTTATGAAAATCTGTTGAGTTTTGACCGAGTTATGGGAGTGGGAAGTTTAGACCTATGTCTATATAGGGCATTTGAAGGGTATCATTTTGACATGAACTTCGACCAAAAATAATGTTTCCAGATTTTGATGCCAAATTAATCTAGAGGCCAAACCGTGAATAAAAAGCCGAACCTTATGAAAATCTGTTGAGTTTTGACCGAGTTATGGGAGTGGGAAATTTCGACCTATGTCTATATAGGACATTCGAAGGGTATCATTTTGACATGAATTTCGACCAAAAATAATGTTTCTAGATTTGTATGCCAAATTGATGTAGAGGCTAAACCGTGAATAAAAAGCCGAACCTTATGAAAATCTGTTGAGTTTTGACCGAGTTATGGGAGTGGGAAGTTTAGACCTATGTCTATTTAGGGCATTTGAAGGGTATCATTTTGACATGAACTTCGACCAAAAATAATGTTTCCAGATTTTGATGCCAAATTAATCTAGAGGCCAAACCGTGAATAAAAATCCGAACCTTATGAAAATCTGTTGAGTTTTGACCGAGTTATGGGAGTAGGAAATTTCATATTATGTCTATATAAGACATTTGAAAGGTATCGTTTTGACATGAATTTCGACCAAAAAATAATGTTTCCAGATTTAGATGCCAAATTGATCTAGAGGCTAAGCCGTGAATAAAAAGCCGAACCTTATGAAAACCTGTTGAGTTTTGACCAAGTTATGGGAGTGGAAAGTTTAGACCTATGTCTATATAGGGCATTTAAAGGGTATCATTTTGACATGAATTTCGACCAAAAATAATGTTTCCAGATTTTGATGCCAAATTAATCTAGAGGCCAAACCGTGAATAAAAAGCCGAACCTTATGAAAATCTGTTGAGTTTTGACCGAGTTATGGGAGTAGGAAATTTCGACCTATGTCTATATAGGACATTCGAAGGGTATCATTTTGACATGAATTTCGACCAAAATTAATGTTTCCAGATTTAGATGCCAAATTGATCTAGAGGCTAAACCGTGAATAAAAAGCCGAACCTTATGAAAATCTGTTGAGTTTTGACCGAGTTATGGGAGTGGGAAATTTCGACCTATGTCTATATAGGACATTCGAAGGGTATCATTTTGACATGAATTTCGACCAAAAATAATGTTTCCAGATTTAGATGCCAAATTGATCTAGAGGCTAAGCCGTTAATATAAAGCCGAACCTTATGAAAATCTGTTGAGTTTTGACCGAGTTATGGGAGTGGGAAATTTCGACCTATGTCTATATAGGACATTTGAAGGGTATCATTTTGACATGAATTTCGATCAACAATAATGTTTCCAGATTTAGATGCCAAATTGATCTAGAGGCTAAGCCGTTAATAAAAAGCCGAACCTTATGAAAATCTGTTGAGTTTTGACCGATTTATGGGAGTGAGAAATTTTGACCTATGTCTATATAGGACATTTGAAGGGTATCATTTTGACATGAATTTCGACCAAAAAATAATGCTTCCAGATTTAGATGCCAAATTGATCTAGAGGCTAAACCGTGAATAAAAAGCCGAACCTTATGAAAATCTGTTGAGTTTTGACCGAGTTATGGGAGTGGGAAATTTCGACCTATGCCTATATAGGACATTTGAAGGGTATCATTTTGACATGAATTTCGACCAAAAAAAATGTTTCCAGATTTTGATGCCAAATTAATCTAGAGGCTAAACCGTGAATAAAAAGCCGAACCTTATGAAAATCTGTTGAGTTTTGACCGAGTTATGGGAGTGGGAAGTTTAGACCTATGTCTATATAGGGCATTTGAAGGGTATCATTTTGATTTATTTTATTTATTTCATAATGTTTCCAGATTTTGATGCCAAATTAATCTAGAGGCTAAACCGTTAATAAAAAGCCGAACCTTATGAAAATCTGTTGAGTTTTGACGGAGTTATGGGAGTGGGAAATTTCGACCTATGTCTATATAGGACATTCGAAGGGTATCATTTTGACATGAATTTCGACCAAAAATAATGTTTCCAGATTTAGATGCCAAATTGATCTAGAGGCTAAGCCGTTAATATAAAGCCGAACCTTATGAAAATCTGTTGAGTTTTGACCGAGTTATGGGAGTGGGAAATTTCGACCTATGTCTATATAGGACATTTGAAGGGTATCATTTTGACATGAATTTCGATCAACAATAATGTTTCCAGATTTAGATGCCAAATTGATCTAGAGGCTAAGCCGTTAATAAAAAGCCGAACCTTATGAAAATCTGTTGAGTTTTGACCGATTTATGGGAGTGAGAAATTTTGACCTATGTCTATATAGGACATTTGAAGGGTATCATTTTGACATGAATTTCGACCAAAAATAATGTTTCCAGATTTGTATGCCAAATTGATCTAGAGGCTAAGCCGTTAATATAAAGCCGAACCTTATGAAAATCTGTTGAGTTTTGACCGAGTTATGGGAGTGGGAAATTTCGACCTATGTCTATATAGGACATTTGAAGGGTATCATTTTGACATGAATTTCGATCAACAATAATGTTTCCAGATTTAGATGCCAAATTGATCTAGAGGCTAAGCCGTTAATAAAAAGCCGAACCTTATGAAAATCTGTTGAGTTTTGACCGATTTATGGGAGTGAGAAATTTTGACCTATGTCTATATAGGATATTTGAAGGGTATCATTTTGACATGAATTTCGACCAAAAATAATGTTTCCAGATTTGTATGCCAAATTGATGTAGAGGCTAAACCGTGAATAAAAAGCCCAACCTTATGAAAATCTGTTGAGTTTTGACCGAGTTATGGGAGTGGGAAATTTCATATTATGTCTATATAAGACATTTGAAGGGTATCGTTTTGACATGAATTTCGACCAAAAAAATGTTTCCAGATTGTGATGCCAAATTAATCTAGAGGCTAAACCGTGAATAAAAAGCCGAACCTTATGAAAATCTGTTGAGTTTTGACCGAGTTATGGGAGTGGGAAGTTTAGACCTATGTCTATATAGGGCATTTGAAGGGTATCATTTTGACATGAACTTCGACCAAAAATAATGTTTCCAGATTTAGATGCCAAATTGATCTAGAGGCTAAACCGTGAATAAAAAGCCGAACCTTATGAAAATCTGTTGAGTTTTGACCGAGTTATGGGAGTGGGAAATTTCGACCTATGCCTATATAGGACATTTGAAGGGTATCATTTTGACATGAATTTCGACCAAAAAAAATGTTTCCAGATTTTGATGCCAAATTAATCTAGAGGCTAAACCGTGAATAAAAAGCCGAACCTTATGAAAATCTGTTGAGTTTTGACCGAGTTATGGGAGTGGGAAGTTTAGACCTATGTCTATATAGGGCATTTGAAGGGTATCATTTTGATTTATTTTATTTATTTCATAATGTTTCCAGATTTTGATGCCAAATTAATCTAGAGGCTAAACCGTTAATAAAAAGCCGAACCTTATGAAAATCTGTTGAGTTTTGACGGAGTTATGGGAGTGGGAAATTTCGACCTATGTCTATATAGGACATTCGAAGGGTATCATTTTGACATTAATTTCTACCAAAAATAATGTTTCCAGATTTAGATGCCAAATTGATATAGAGGCTAAACCGTGAATAAAAAGCCGAACCTTATGAAAATCTGTTGAGTTTTGACCGAGTTATGGGAGTGGGAAATTTCGACCTATGCCTATATAGGACATTTGAACGGTATCATTTTGACATGAATTTCGACCAAAAAAAATGTTTCCAGATTTTGATGCCAAATTAATCTAGAGGCTAAACCGTGAATAAAAAGCCGAACCTTATGAAAATCTGTTGAGTTTTGACCGAGTTATGGGAGTGGGAAGTTTAGACCTATGTCTATATAGGGCATTTGAAGGGTATCATTTTGATTTATTTTATTTATTTCATAATGTTTCCAGATTTTGATGCCAAATTAATCTAGAGGCTAAACCGTTAATAAAAAGCCGAACCTTATGAAAATCTGTTGAGTTTTGACCGATTTATGGGAGTGGGAAATTTTGACCTATGCCTATATAGGACATTTGAAGGGTATCATTTTGACATGAATTTCGACCAAAAATAATGTTTCCAGATTTAGATGCCAAATTGATATAGAGGCTAAACCGTGAATAAAAAGCCAAACCTTATGAAATTCTGTTGAGTTTTGACCGAGTTATGGGAGTGGGAAATTTCGTATTATGTCTATATAAGACATTTGAAGGGTATCGTTTTGACATGAATTTCGACCAAAAAATAATGTTTCCAGATTTAGATGCCAAATTGATCTAGAGGCTGAACCGTTAATAAAAAGTCGAACCTTATGAAAATCTGTTGAGTTTTGACCGAGTTATGGGAGTGGGAAATTTCGACCTTTGTCTATAAAGGACATTTGAAGGGTATCATTTTGACATGAATTTCGACCAAAAATAATGTTTCCAGATTTTGATGCCAAATTGATCTAGACTCTAAGCCGTGAATAAAAAGCCGAACCTTATGAAAATCTATTGAGTTTTGACCGAGTTATGGGAGTGGGAAATATCGACCTATGTCTATATTAGTATAAAAAAGCGAGTTGATGTATTGAAAAGATCCGTATGTCAGAATTGATCACTTTGAATTAACTATAGCTGCCATAGGAAAGATTCGTTAAAAGTAGCCTAAAATTAGACCCAGCATCCTTCCTTTTTATTTGTCTAAATGGATAATAAAAGAACAAGATATTTATTGGAAACTGCAAGAATGAGAGAGAGAGAGAGAGAGAGTGAGAGAGAGACCAGTGAAATAAATATTTCACTAAAGTATAGAAGAATTATATGACGATTATAGATTCATATAAATCAGATTCGATGGGAATATGTTTTTACTTTCAATTAGGATCTTTCAATCACAAAGTGTTCCTCTGATTCGAATTAAATTCTCTTCAGACTACTGACGACTTTATATATAATATTGTTGAAAACTCTCGATTTTCTATGTCAGAATTTGTTTATGCAGCTGGTTTTTATTTAAAGCAATTATAATATAAATACAACTTGTGGTTTGCACAAAGCAAATACCATATAGAGGGAGTAGAAGTTCAAGGTTCTGTCTATGTTCCAAAATGTACTCTGATCGCGGTGCTTGAAGTGTGGGCTAGTTCCAATGCAGAGAATCTAGGCGGCGCAGTAAGCGTATAATTCACTGAGTTTGCAGGACCTTCTGCAGCACTCGTCGACGATACCCTCACGGGTGCGACGGCGGGTAGCGGTCAGCGAGTTGAGGACATTCTGCTGGTAGATGTTGCGCAGGCGCGAATTGGCCATGGGATAGGTAAGGAGCTCGGCGGATGACGAGGGCGTTTCCTTCTCCTCAATGTACTGAATAGGATCGAGTGGGTCCAGGTCCATGAGCGCTGCACCACAACAACGAATTGAAGGATTAGCTACTGCGAACACCCTTCACAGGCTTATACTTACGCGAGTTGCGTTTCTGGGGAATGAGACGGTTGAATCCTTTGTCACAGAGCGTGCTCAGCATATCGTTTAGCCGAACGCTGCACAGGCGCATCTCGCCGTGCGAATTGGCGGTTGCCAGGACGCAGATGGCGAACAGGAATGCGAGCGACACGGAAATTGACTTGCACATTGTACTGGGATAAGGCTATGCTTTGGAACTGATGCTGATACACTCGCAGCCGTACGCTTATATACCGTTAATGGCGTTTCGGGCACCCGCTGGGGTGGAGCATGTGGCAAGTCTAACTACATTGGTGTCAAATTGTGTTAAAGGTTATTGGGACAAGTTGAGTGCATTCTCGAGTAGCTGCTTGCTAAATTCGTTCAATGTCAGCGTTCACTTTTCGTTGGCTTATGCAAATTTGCCCCACCCTTCGTGTGGGCGACATTGCTATGCGTGGGGCACACTAGTTGAGTGGGCGGGGTGTGGGTTGTAGGGGGGTTTGTCTTGCGTCTTTGTCAGCCAATTAAACAATTTGGGCGTAAAAGGACAACGCAAGGTTCTGGCGTGTGCGAACCTGCATTTATGAATACCAAATGAGTTGTTCCAGCCAACATACCCTGTAGCCCAACCCTCAAAGGGGGGGTCTCCCTAGTTGTAGTTAGTTTCTACTGCCAACCAGCTACTATAATTTGTCCAAGCCCATAACACTTCCATTCTACTTCTCCACCCCTGCCCCAACTAGCAGCAACAGCATGTGCTAAAAACTCAGTCTCAATCTAACGCACAATCCAATGTACCCATTATCGCAAAATTTAATGATTGTCCCTCTGGGGAGAGATTTCAAACAAAAACAAAAAAGGAGCAAACAAACGAGTAAAAAAAGCTGTAGATTTCCCCTATGCATTAGCTCCTATATTCATGTGTTTGCCAAAGGAAAACAAACAAAAGAACAATTGTGGGGTGAAGCGTATTAAGCCAAGTCATATTTAGGTAATTTAATTTCATTGCATTGTTTTAATCAAGTGTGTATTGAGCCGAACCGGTTCGAGACTGGAATTTAAAGAATAACGACATAGTTTTCTCGAAAATAGTTTAATTTTGAATACACAACTCGTATGTAATAGCCAGCAGCAAAGCGTAAGTAAGTTGGGTCTTAACCATAATTGGGATATCCAATTCTCGGATAGAGCTCAAATCTAGCCCGCGATTTGTATATGAAAATATCTACGGCTTGCAATATTTTCAGTACAACGGGCGATTGCTAAATATATATAAATAAATATATAATTAAATATATTAAATATATTAAATTTAAACCAGGTTCACGAACCGAGTCACAAGGTAGGAATTTGGTTCAAACCTTTTTTCTTAGCCTAAAATATAGGGATTCAGCCATTTGACAAAAAACCAAATAAATTTATAATGAAATGTGAAGCAATATAAATAATATTAAAGGCAAAGCTTTCATTTAAATTTAAAGCTATATTCACAATCAAAAACAAAAGGTAGAAATTTGGAATGAATCTCTTCACTAGGCATAAGATTTAGGGATCGGAACCGCATTAAAGTGTGAAACAAAATGAATATTATTTCAGACAAAGTTTTTATTTTAGGGTCTTTGGGTAGCTGTTTAAATATGTAGAAGGTGTCCCCAATAAAAGCAGGAAGTTGGTTTGAATCTCGTCACTAGGCATGAAATGAAGGGATCGAACGCCCGTGACAACAAAACCATATGCTTTTATTGTGATACATAATAACTATATATTAACGTTTTTCGATTCAAATTATAGCCAGGTTAACGAACCGAACCTCAAGGCAGAGAGTTGGCTCGAACCGTAAACCGAGGCGTAGACCATTTATCTTTAGGTTTGCAGTCCGGGCACATATACATTATAAAAGAAATTTAACACAGGGTATCTTATGGTCGTGCAGCTTGACTGCTTGTGGTTTCCTTGGTCTGTCTTTACTTACCGATGCGGGCGTTGGCCTCATCTGGCATCCACAGGAGCGGCAGAAGCGCTGTTAACAACCAGCTGAAGCTGAAGTTAGTCATTTAGCTGCTGTCTGTCTTTGCGGGAGGGGGAATGGGGGCGGGCGGGTCAGGTGTTGCTGGAGGTGTAGGCTGTGGAGCAGGAAGTAGGTGGTTTCTCTTGTACGGTGTGAATGGGTCGGAATGGAAATTTCGTCAGTAACTTTTGCTTTAGCTTTCTGCTGAGCCGTGAAACTTTCTGCACAGTTTTACTTTTATTCATTAGCTAAATTTTGTGCTGCATAAATAAGTGATTACGATAACGATTACGATTACGATTACGATTATGATTACGATTACGATTATGATTACGTTTACGAGTACACTATCGCGTGTGAGTATGAGTATAACGTATGTGTGTGTATGCGTGTGTCTGCGTGCGTGCGTGTGTGTGTGCGTGCGTGTGTGTCCTTTATCGGCGACAATAGGCCAAGAGTTCCGGATATGTGCAGGCATTGCGACAGCATTCATCATAGATGCCACCACCAGCCTGCCGCCGGAGGCGTCGCGTCTTGATGAGCACATCGGTGCCATAAATGCTGGATAGCAGTGGACTCAGCGCATAGCCAGCACCTGGCCGTAATTGCAACTGGTCCGCATCGATGCCCATTTCCGGTGGCGAGTCCAATCGCTTTTTCGGTATGGTATTGTAGCCATTCACACAGACCACGTCCATTGCATCATTCAGCGCCTGGCCGCAAAGCTTGTGTTTGCCCTCCCGCAGCAGATGGGCGACGCTGAAGTCGTCGGCGGCGTGGCAACAGCCGCTGCCCAGTGCTATCAGCAGCAGCAGCGGCAGCAGCAGCAATTGGCGATGGCCTGTGGCAGGTGCATGAGATGCGCTATTGTCCAACATATTGCGGGCGGGCCTGTTGCGAGCGTTTTGCCTGATTGCTGCTGGCAACGGCCGCTATTTATACGTGTGCGCGCTACCACATGCCACATGCTGCATGCAACATGCCACATGCAGCGGCAGCGGCAGTGGCAGCAACATGCCCAGCATTGCGGCGGTTCAATGCACTTTTTGGTTGCATACACATTTGGCATACATATTGGGGCATGCCACTGCAAAGCATGCCTAAAAACAACAACAGCTCACACCCAACCCACACACACACCCACACACTCTCCACCTGGTAGCTGGCTGCGACTTAACACTAAAAGGCTGTGACTGCTGTCCCTAAGGATTACCTCTGCTGCCACACAGCTAGGCAGCCTGTGTGTGGCAGGTTCATTAGCATTCGTGTGTGAGCGTGTGTAATTTTAGAGCTGAAAAGTATGCTTCATTCGGCTGGCGGCAATGTACAAAAGCGCTTCGATCTGTGATTATGCCGCTGGCAATCGATAGTTCGAAGTTTAGTTGTCGATTGTGGCAATAGAATCGAGTCAACAGTTGGTCGCCAACGTTGCAGCAAACGGTCGCAGTTGCAGTTGCATTCGCAGTCGCAGTTGCAGTCGTAGCTTCCATTGTTATTCAAGAGTTCAAAAATGGTGATCGATATTAAAATGTGTCGTTTTGATAATGTGCCGTGGGGCTTTCGGCTTGTCGGTGGCGCCGACTACGATTATCCACTGACTGTGGTTAAGGTTAGGCCACATCGACCAGATTAACAATAGTTATAATAATATGTGATAATAATCAACTGCAGTCACCTTTGTGTGCGAGCAAAAGCTACCTGTGCGCAGCCACAACAAAGGCAGCCGCAGTTGCCCGCCCACCTGCCAGGCTGCCTGCTACATTACAATAATTGTTGCATATTCACTTTTGCAACAATGTGCCGCAAATTAATTGCAAATATTTCAACGTTCGAGCCAATTATGTAACTCAGTGCGTGTGTTTATTTATTTGCAGTTGCAATTCGCATTCGCATTTGCTGTCGCTGCTGCTGCTGCTGCTGCTGCTGCTGCTGCCTGTTGCTTTTGGGCTTATTTGCGAATTTTGTTAATTAAAGTAAACTCGGCGCAGAGAGTACTTCGTTGCGGCCATTTGTCTAATCGTCTGGGCGCAATGCATTTTTCTGCTAATGAGCCGCATAATGTGAATGCAATAAATTAATTTCAATTTGAATTCTGTCTCATCTGCGATTTATCATCGCTCGGCGAATTAGCAAATGTGTTGAAAAGCAGCAGCAACAAAAGCGGCAACAACAACATAAATAATCAAGTATTTTTGCAAAAATAGCAACAAATTGCAATTTTATACAACGCACCCATTAACAATGTACAAATCGGGCATATTGGTTTTGTGCATAAGTATGCAACAGACAGAAGAAAGCGTGTCTGAGTATATATTCTTATATATTCTCCAATCATACGCAGAAAGAGGCTATAATTTTTTCAATGTCTCCTCTTAGTATCACATATCGATAAATATCGATCTGGATCTGGACCCACCCGGAACTGGGCTTAGAGTATCTGCTAGTCAAGCACATAGGACAAAGCACTCTTATTTTAATTGGCATACAGCGACACACAGATAGGAAGACACATACGAGTGCATGCGAGGGCAGATTGACATATAGAAACTGATAGGAAAAATACTATGCAAACTATTTTCAATTCCCTCTCTCCAGGACATTTTCTGTTCATTTGCTAAACAAAAACATAAAAGTAAGCTTAAAAAGCGGCTTTTTGTTAAATTAATAAGAGGTTGATCAACAAGTCCTTTGTGGGCAAAAGAGAATTCCATTTAGCTCACTTTATATTTAAATTATAATCAATCCATCTCCGAACACTCGTTTTACAATATGTATTCTCTCATTTATTCAATATAGATTAGATTAGATTTAGATTAGATAAAATATAAATAATTTTCTACACATTAATCTGTCATATTCCCTTTTATTCAACACTTAAAAATTCTGGTAAAGTTTAATTAACGGCAACTATGATAACGACATTTTCCAACACTCAAAAACAAACTCCATTAAACAATTTTGTGTTTGGTTTGAAAATTATAAAACTTCAACAACTTTTATGAGCTGAATAGTTGTGGTGGGTGCACAAGGGGGTGTAAGAGGGGGACAACATGCTTATAAACTGATTGTAAAAAACTTTTATTATCCGTGATGTATTAATTTATAAAGCAACCCGCATGCAGCATGCCACATACAGTGGCATTGTCTTGGTCGAGGCATCTGCCGCAGCGCCTCGCCCCTCCCCGCAACGATTCAGTTCTTTCCATTTGTGTTTTTGTTGACATTTTACGCGCATTTTATTTATATGCACTTTGCACGCGCGACGCCAGATAATTGATTTTGTATCTGCAACACTTTTTCCTATCTTTCTCTATATCTCTATATCTCTCACGCTCTTCCTCCTCTCTCTCGCGTTCGCTATCTCCATGTGCGACAGGTCACGGAGGGCAGCATTGCCGAGGAGGCGGGCCTGTGCGTCGAGGATGTGATTGTGCGTATCAATGACACGGCTGCCACGCCTCTAACCCATGACGAGGCCCATCGCCTAATCATGAGCAGCGGCAGCGTTTTCTACTTTGGCGTCCATCGGTAAGTCCGACGGCCCCAATTGGCCATTTATCATTAGGCTTAACCCTTCAGCTGACACTTTTTCCTTGGCAGCGAGCGCGAGGAGGAGGCGCCCTACGATGGCCCCAAGAGGTTCCCATTGAGTGCGAGTTCGTTGACCAAATCACCAACGCCTGGGCAGTCGCCAACCGCATCCGCATCGCCGTTGCCGCTGCCGTCGTTAACGGAAGCCACAAAAGCGCTCATTCCGGAACAGGAACAGGTCGAGGTTGCGCAACTGGAGGAGAATGTGGAGCTGGTATGTCGCAGCGCCATGACGGAAATGCATTCGCATGGCAACGACAACAACGTAAAGAAGGAGCAGGAGCAGGAGAGGGAGAGAGAACGGGAGCATGGGGGCATACACGTGGATAGCCTTTATTTGCCCGATTTGCCCGATCGTCCATGCTCGGCGATGTCGGAGCAGTCGGAAATTAAGTTGGTGGAAGAGGAAATTGCCGCTGTGCTGTCCGGCGAATCGGAGGTCCTAAAGGAGCACAATGTGCTTGGGTGCGTTGACAGCAGCTGTTGCTGCCACCGACATGGAGCGACCTTAACCTGCATCATATCATAGCGTTAATTTCTATAGAATCTTTCCCAAGCCGGGCGTGTGCATGACCAGCGATGTGCTGCGCTCCCTCAACGAGGAGGTGACCAAAACGAAGCTGGAAAAGGAGAAGGAGAATCGCAAATGGTCGACGTTCCTGCAGCGACCTGATCGTCCGGTGCCCAAGAGCAAGCAACAGCTGGAGGCGGAACGGCACAAGGCCAATGCCTACAAGGTGAAGATAGTCAAGTCGGCGCCACGCGACAAATCGCCCATGGTGAGTAGCGTTGCATGAAATAAAAAAAAGACACTGAACAGGCACCAACTTAAGCCTGTGACAGCCGGAAGCTCCGCCAGCGCCAAAGGAAGCCACCCCACCGCCGCAGGAGGAGGCGCAGGTCGAGCCAGTGGAGCAGCCAGTGGAGCAGCCAGACGAGGAGCCGCTGCCCACGGACAGCGAAGTGCCGAATCTGGAACAATTGCCAGACAATGGCAACACCAGCAACAACAACAACAACAACAAAGAGGACGCGCCCGAGGAAACGGAAGGCGAGCAGTTAGAGAAAACGGATACGTCCAAAGAGGTGTCCGAAGAGCGGGCTGAGCGCGAGGCCGAGTCCGAGGCAGGGAAAGAGCCGGAGGCAGCTAAACAAACAGCCCCGGCTGAGCCTAACGAGCTGCAGCCCGAGGCCGATGCGGCAACTCCACCCAAAACCGATGAGGAACTGGCACTGGAAAAACAACTGGCCGATGTGCAAAAACAGCTCGCGGCCCTCTCCACGCTGCCCTCGACCATACAATCGACCCTGGACGCGGTGACCAAGCAGCTGGCCGAACTGCTGCCCACATTTAAGCTGCAGCAACAGGAGCAAAACCAGCAGCAGCAGCAGCAAATCGATGGGCAGCAGGCGGAACTGTCGACAGCCGAGGAGGACGAGTATGAAGGTGCCGGCTCGAAAGTTATGGCCGAGGTTACAGTAATTAAATTTTTCTAATGGCACACTTTGCATATTCTACCCCACACACAAACACATACAAACACACAGCTCTGTCCAATTCTGCGGCTGGCAGGGAGCAGCTGCAGCCGGAAGGGACGACAGCACCTGAAAATAATGAGGATAAATGCGATGCCAATGACCTGGAAGTGGCAGAAATTTCGCTCTCGAATGGCGACAATCGCCAGCTGGAGGAGCAGCTCAGCGAGGAGCTTTGCTTCAAGAAGCAAAAGGTAAGCTGAACAACTCAACCTCAAGCTCATGTGGCATTCGGGCGACCCATTTAAAGGGTATACACGAGCGTATAAACTCTGCTCAGAGCGAAGCCAGTTCTTGTGTCTGTCTGAGAAATTGCCTCAAGCAAGGGCTGAAGATGTGGCTTCAGCTTGGATACCACAATTCTGTGCTCTTTACAGTTGTTTATATAGAAACCAGGGCTGCATATCTTTTTAACCTAACCGGTTAGGGCCCGTTTTTCCCAATTAGTTATTACCTTGAATCAAACTATTTTACGCTAAAAAAAGTTCATACGAATCCCGAATCGAAGCATACTCTACTTTACAAATATATATATATATATATATTTTACTTGAGTCTCGAACAAGAACAAGTTTGAACCAACGACTGAGTTGATGAGTGGGGGTTCAAACTAGTTCAGGAACCAAACTAAAAGCTGGTTCTAATCTTCTGTTTAGTTTTATTGACGCATATTAAATGCGCAATGAAAATATATTTCTTACTTGAGGCAAAGTTCTCCATTTAAGCTCTTTTGTTTTCTTTTCAAATTTGAGCCAAGTTCATGAACTAAACTTAAACTCAGTTTGCTTTTGTTGCTCTCGGCTTTGCAGCCCTGTTGGCAGCCTTAAACACATTCATATAAATTTTCATACCAAAAAGTTTCCATGCAATTGGGCACCCACTTAAGCTTTATATACAGGTTATGTGAGAGTCGTAACAGCTCGACTTTAGCCTTGAGTTAGTGTTGAATTTATATTTTTTTACTGGCCAGCTGTGCCTCATCTCAGCCGCAGTCGCAGTCACTGATTCTGCCCCTGTTTCCGTCTCCATTTCTGACACGCCTCAATCCCGATTTTATGCCGTATTTTTTTGGAGGGGGGTACACTTTCCTGGCCATTTCGCCTGGTCAACTCGAGAAATCAAATTAACTAAAATGCCATTTGGTTTTTGTCTTTTGTCTACTTGCAGCATAATGTGCGCTTCCAAGTGTAGTTAGCTTAGCTTAGCTTAAATCGAGTTTCAATTTTGATAAATTGCCACCAAAAGATTGTTGTACACACAAATTCAGTGCACAGAGCGACTAACTGCCAGTTAAATAAATGAGTCCAAAGAAATGGAGAGAATCGAGCTTGAGTCGGGGCGGGGGGCGGTGCGGGGCGGGCACAGCAAAGGGAAAGGGAAAGGGTAGAAACCAAAAGACAATTAGTAGGCAGCGTAACAGCCAGAAAAACCAACGCAGAATAAACCGAACCGAAAACCACTGCACAAATTTTCACTTCACTTCTCACATTCTCTCACTCTCTCTTTCTCTTTCTGTCTCTCTTTCTCTCTCTCGGTCTCACTATAAACAAAAATCTCTGAACATCTTCTCTGTCTCTGTGGGCTCTTGTGTGCTGCATTGCGTTGCGTTGCGTTGCGTTTGCTGTGCTGGGTTGGTTTTTCTGGGATGCGATGTGACATGCCAGAAACACAATGTCATTGAGGAGCTCGAGGAGCATTTGGTGCGCAAAAACAATCCCAGGCGTTCGAAGCGCGCCTTTGGTCCCCTGACGCCATCATCGGAGCGTCCTTTGGTGCTGCCCGGCGGCAGGCGCTGGTACAGACCCAAGGATGCCTACAATGATGAATTCATAGCCGAAACACTGAGCGCCCAGGCGGAGCTTATAACGGGCAGCACGCTAGGGTGGGTATTGCACGAAATTTTCTATTGAATTTTCCTATCCCGCATACACGCTGCCCAACTCCTTCTACTCGCTGTCCAGCCACTCCTACGACCTCCTCCCTCCTCTCTATTTCGCTCTCTCACTCTTTTTGATCATCATCACGGACGACATTGCAATTGACATTTGCTAAAACCCATATTGTGTCCTGGCATTGCTTTGGTCATATTGCCATCATAATGCCATATTGCCATGGTCACAGTCACTCCCCCTTGCCCACCTTCTCCACCTTCCCCCCACCTTTCCCACGCCTCCGCTCATCGTGCTTCATATACTCATGCTCATCTCTCATTTTTGCATGGCACGCTTACATCGACGCACAAACGCTTCGGCTTCATAATTTTGCGCATTAGCAGCTGCCCCTACGAGAGCCCGTTGCTGGGCTACGATGCCAGGTATTATTGCTAGGATGGAGTTCTGACAGCATCCGCAATTCGCAATCCGCATCCGCTTCAAGCACAAAAGGATGCACTTTCATTAACATTATCATTTTCAACGACCGTCTGTCTTGCTGTCTTTCTGTCTGTCTGTCTCTGTCTCCGTCTCTTGTTACAATTTTTGTCTTGGGCTGCAGTTGATTTGACTTTGCCAGTTCTCGTTGCACGTTTCTGTGGCATTCTTCTTCTTTTTTATGCACTATTATTTTTTCAGATTTTTCCTTATATGCATGCCTCGTCTCGCTTCTCTTTCTCTCTCTCTCTCTCTTTCATAGATTGCATTTTGGAATCGTTTATTCAATGGCGAGCACATAACACGCCAGCGTTTCAGGTAAGTTGACTTTGACTCCGACTGCGACGGCGACGGCGACTGCAACTCCTTCTGCTAATAAGGCTAACATCGTTTGCCTGCATTTCGGCCCGCCCTTGTCTTGTACTTAACCACTGGGGGCAATACATTCACTTCAATTTCGGTAACGATTACGTTTACGCTTACGTTTTTTATACCCTGTTCACAAAGTCAAAAGAAGTTTAGACTGGGCTCTTTGTGTCCGTTAGCCAAAGACCTGTAAGCCTGTTCGGCTTTCAATCAAACGGACTGAAGCTAAATCTAAGCCGAACAGTTTTTTTTTAATTAAATATTCATGCTTGAAAGGCTTTTATTTCAGTTTTCTAAAGATGCGCTCATTTAAATGAGTAAAAATAGCTCATTCAAGTTGAGATAAATTCTGTTAGAAATTTGAAAGAAATTTTACCTACGAAACTAAGCTTAGACACAGACTCACAGGGCGAACTCTAAGGCTTAAGTCGTAAGCCGAATCATCGAAAATATTTGTGGGGCTTGCAGCTTTGAGTAAAAGTCTTACAATTGCCTAACCATGCCCCCTAAGGGGCGAGCGAAAATCCAAGGATCGATGCTTACTAAAAAAGCACAGTTTAAAGGTGACTGTCAGCCCAGTTTGAGAGTCACTAACTCGATAGGTAAGACGCTTTTCGACTGCTTGGAATTAGTACACTTCCTCGCCAAATTAGAGAAGTATATTAGGTTTTAAAAACTTAAAACTTTAAATGCATATTCGCAAATCGAAAAAATGTACATACTTCATAGTTTCCGAGCTAGACTGAAGACTAAAGGGAGGACCACAGATCGATCCACTGGGGCTAGTTGTGAACAGGGTATTTTGTGCAGTCGGTTGCGACCGACTGTCATGTTGTTTTCACTTTGTTTCTGGTTACGTTTTTGGCTCGTTTTCGGTTCAATTCCTCGCCCACAGGGAGCTGCAGAGCCTCAGCGTGGCCAAGGCAGCGCACAGGTTAGTTTTGTCACACGGTTCATTGCATGCCCTGGCAACCGGACGGAGAGCTCAAGAGTGCTCCAAACGTGACCAGCAGCACTTATTTAAATGCACATGCATGTCTCCCTTTTGCAAGTCCTGCTTACCCAAATACCCCGCCACTCCCACGGCCGCTCGTTTGAGCTCTTTCTTACGACAGATTTGGCTTGTTCCCTCCGCAGGGTCAACTTTATGAAGTACCAAAAGCCGGAGCGCAAAATCGACCTCAATCGCAGCGAGGTATACAAAGTCATACATCATCTGGACAGGGCGCCAGTGCGTGGCATTGAGGTGCGTGCCCCGCTTGTGGCAGCCGAATCGGACATACGCCAGGCATTGCAGTCATAGAATTCAATGCACCCAATTTAGCCCATCATAAAGAAAGAACTCTGTTAAATTTAAAATCAACAAACGAACAAACAAACAAATAATACTCTTACAATAAGCAGCTCACGAAATATATATGGACAAGAACTATGAATATGTTATGTGCATAAGTGTTTGACGGGAGCACAAGTCTGTGTCAAAGGTCAACATCATTATCAGTGTCATTGTTGTTGTTGCTGTTGTTGTCTCTAAGGCGCCTAATGTGTTATTACATAATTTGTGTATGTGCAACATGGCGTATGTGTAATATGCCAAGTGTCAGACGAGGCGGCGGATTGTCGTGCATGTCGGCAGCCGCCGCAGGGCGCTGCTCTTGCAATTTTCTTTTGCATAAACACGCGGCACAGCACACTCTGTGTGTGTATGTGTGGGTGAGTGTGTGTGTGGGTGTGTGTGGGTGTGTTGTGTGTGCGACAAGCTCTTGGAATTTGCATATGTTAAAGCAAATGAATTGGCCTGTAAACGAAATGAAACCAAATTGCAAAATGACAGCCAGCAGCACAATATAACAATAAACTCGTATTTAGTTATGAGAACATACACACACACACACACGCACGCATTCGCACACACACCGCACATCAAATTCAGATTCTGAATGGCTGTCACGTTGTGCCGGGTCGTAGGTTGCGCACATTTCACTTGCCCTCGCACACGGCGGTTGATGCCACGGTTATGTTCGCGTTTACGGACACGGTTACCAAATTATTAGCCATTTTTCTGCGTCCAAAGTGAAAAGTCGTAAAAACGCGGCAAGTTCGCGTCCTGCTGCTGCTTGCGGCTTATTGCTTATCACGTTACGTAGTTGTCGAATCACTCACGAGTTGCGTCCACAGAGTTGTGCGGAGCACTTGACGACGCGACGTTGATGGCGTCTCGTCCTGAACTGTCACAGTCACAATATGTTGGCATTTTGACTTCGCATTATCACTGCCGTCCTAGTCCCCACACACACACACACACACACTCGTACACAACATGTTGGCATAGTCCTTTGAGTGGAGTTGAAATACGAAACACTCGAGTGTTTTGGGACAGCTTTTTTTTGGCGAGCTTTCAACTTGCCGAGAGGAGCTTGAGTTGAAAATGTTGAGATATGCCGAGCTTTTGACTAAACGTAAAGCACAAGCGGCAGTAATGCGCCAGCTGCAAGGCAAGCATGTTGCTTATAACGGTAAATATGCATTTGGGAGGGACTGTACCACAAAAGTATTCCCTTCGATAAGGTTGAGATTTGCAATGTCTAAATAATTTGGCAAAAATAATGTAAAACTAACTGCATTTTTAAATGTAAATATAGAACAAAACTAAAAATCAAGGTAAGAGCATAGAGCTTCATAAAAAATGGTTAGGCTTGGACAAAGTTTGATATGCTATAGCTCAAAAAATGAACAAAAATTAAATTGAAATTTAGAGTCGATCTACATTTTAGTACATAGTGAAGAGCGTATCCTTTATCGATATTTGACTGACAAAGAGAGCTTAAAGTCTAAAAAGAGCATTTACATTTCACTCTTCATTATTATGCTTACAAAATTCAAACACCTTTAGCAATAACAATATAACGAGGAAATAAATACTCAATGGCTCAATGAACAGCTCTATTATACTCACATGGTCTCTCTCCATCTCTCCCTCATTATCTTTTACTCTCTGTGGGCTTCGATTTTTTTCCATTTGTGCGCCAAAAGTGAAAAAGCTCAGCACAAAAAAAGTTACGAATATGTATGTAAACGATTATTAAACTGATATTCAAGGGCGCAGATCGAGAGGAACATAAACATATTTCACACTTGACACAAACTAAGCAATTTTAACACAATATAAATAATTTAACTTTGTACGAAAATGATTTTATACACCTGCACAGCGGACGCGACCGATCAAATAGGCTAATGCGCACAGACTAAATGCTCTCACCAAGCTGACGCCTACGCTAAGCCGGCATTTGCACTAATACAGTGACAACTAAGAGCACGAAATCGTTTGCGCTCACACACCATCCACTATGCTCGCTGCTATCGTGTGCGTCTTGGATAACGGGATCAATGTTGTTGCAGCCAATAGCGTAAACGCATGCTCGCTCATCGGCTTAGCTGCGGCCTGCGCTCCATGCGTATATGTATGTATGTCGATGAATATCCACAGTGCTCACTCTCTGGATAAATACTCTGCCAGTCAGCTGATTGATGTAATCCCACACACATTTAAACTTGTGACGTCATTGTATTCTTCACGCTGAGTATTTTAGATTTTTATAAAACCTTATTACACAGTTGTCCATTCTTTGTGCAAATAAAACGAATTGCATTTTGATATAATTTTGTATTTTATTTGAATTTGAATAAAACAAACTAGACAACAACTACTTATGATTAAGTATCGTACGAGTACAAGTACATGCAAGTTACATAAAAATAGTTTAGGCTCGCAGCGGCGCTCGCTCCGAATGCATATATATTGGATGATTACGACTAATAAGATAATAAGTATACAATAGGTTGTTTCAAAAAAAAGGCAAAACTTACAGCGGCTACGTCACAACGGAGCATTCACTTTAAAAGTGTGCGCTTAGCGAAGTACGCGAACATTTCTTTTCTCATTTGCTTTGTCTTTAAATTTTAATTCCTTTTTTTTTTTTGTTTTGTTTAGTTGTGGGATTTTGGGATTTGTTTGTGTGTGTGTGTGTGTTTGACACTAATTATCACTACGCCAGTTGAAGCTAAATAGTTTATAATTTTGTTTCTAAGAATGCTTCTTCATGTTCATTGCTCTTTCGATGAGACTAAACCGAGTTTATTATTGTAAATATATATGTTTGTATATATATGTATGTAATATATGTATATGCAAAATATTTATTGCTAATAATACGCGCAAGACGAGAAAATAATCAACGAGAAAAACCAAATAAATATATTTTTGTGTGTGTTTGTGTGATGCAAAGTTTTCCTTTGTTTTCATAAATATTTTTCACTAAGCAAACATCTTGTCATAAGGCATTCTTAATGAGGGTCCAAAGTGCACACCTAATGCCTAACGAAGTGGAGTCTTTTCCTTGTTTGAACTGAATCGAACAAATAATCGGTCATCTGTTATCGGTTATCGGTTATCGTTTATCGGTAGGGAATTACGAATACTCTATTCTTTTGTTCTTAGCAAAATATGTGGCATATTTGCCCTACCATGTCATGTTTCATTTTAGGTACAACGTTTCCTCCTGCTCTTGAGTTCTCGGCACTCCTCCTCTCCGACCGGGCCCTAATCAAAAGATGTCTGCGGCCAGCTGCAACCCTTACAATCTAATAGGTATTCAGGTGTGTGTGTTTTACTTTAGGCTATACAATCCTTCTCTCTAAATACTAATGCAGGTAGTTCGTTAACACGATCACCAGAATTTCGTCATACGTATGTATTTTCTTGATTTTGTTGGTTTTTGTATTATGGGAACGCGGCTTGGCTTTAATACTTTGAATACTTATTAAAGAACTAATTAAATTTGGCCTAAAACTGAGCCTGGCTATTACCCAACTCCAGTTGCTGCTGCTGCTCAGCCCCTAGGCAGGCAGGTTGGTCTGCTCGTAGAAATCGGGCTCATCCTCGTCGTTCTTCGCCTCGCTGCCATCCAACTGTGCGAAATGAGAAATCAATATTTTGATTAATCCTCAATTCTAGAAGGCAATACGAATGGAGGCTTTACCGCTTGCAATTCCTCCGGCTTATAGAGCGATGCCATTTGCTGACGTATGGGCACCATGAGTATAAGGAAGAACGGGAAGGCCAGCGAGAATTTAGATGACTTGACCGCCCATAACACTGCCAGGCAGAGCACCTGTATGGTGGTAAACAGATGCAGCTTCCAGGGCCGCACACGCTTCACATAGTTTGTGGGCGGATAATGCTTGACCGGCATGAAGTACAATCGTATGCTATATAGAAGGAACGCGAACAGATCAGTTGAATGTGGAGAATGTATATGTTTTACGCTTTAGCTAACCGTTCAAAGAGCTGGACGCCGCTCATGGATGCCACGCCCATGTAGAGAAAGACGCCAAAGAGCACGGCCATGGGTATGAGACGCAGCAGTGGCGACATCAACACCGATAGCCCAATCATGACGCACACAAAGAAGCCGGACAAGCGCTGTTCCTTCACATCGATAATACGCGGCGATTCACCAGGTGCGTGTGTGCTGCAAGGATCCAAGCAAAATAGTTAAAGCCTAAGAAGGAGAAGAGGCAAGTTAACGCACCGTGACATCACCGTGACGGAGGAGACATGGGTTACGGAGCGCACTGTGGCCGCACAATGCCAGGGCATGCCAAAGAGGCCACAGAAGGTGTTCAGCAGGCAGAGCAGCACAATGTCCCAGTGCAGGCCGGAGCCCTTCTTCAGGCCGCGCTCCGGCTTGTCCACAATCAGCTCGGATATCTGTGACTCCATGAAGATCAGTATATAGACAAGCAGGGCGGGCACCACACAGGCAAACGGTACCCAGGTCTCGAATGTGTTGAAGCCAATGAACCAGCCGCGTTTCGTCGGATCGCTGGGCGACAGGCCCTCGGGCACCACCAGCTTCTCGGTATATACCGACGGCACCAGATAATCGACCAGCACGAATATGGCTATGGAAATGGGCACACCAAAATCGCCAAGAGCCCGCCGCGCATTGCGGCCCAGGAAATGCGAATTGCGAAACAGTTTCAGATAGTAGGCGACCACAAAGGTCGCCAGCGTGAGTATGGTGCAGAAGAGCGCCGTATTTGGCTGATTGATGGGCAACTTGGGCGTCGGAGGTGCCAGCGTGGTGCTGGCATTCAACAGGCTGACGCTCATATTGAAATTTGTGGCATTTGTGGCGCTCTCGTGCTCAACCAGCGTTGGCGGCGGCAGATTGTAGTCGGCCAGCAGCGGATTGAGCTTGTAAATGGACACAAGCTTCATCATGGTCTCCACAATGTAAATGAGCGTGATCAGAGCCGAGAAAATCTCCTGGGTGAAGCGTGTCAGCAAACGCACATAGACGCTGCCCTCAAAGGCGGACACGCACAGCGCTATAATGATCAGCC